ATAAAAAATATTTTCATCGAGCACTCGATTACTCGAGTTCAGTTTTCTTTAACTCCACTTTCGCTTATAACAACCTGACTTTTGGAATATCGGCCAAGTGCCTCGCTTAAGCAACGAGATTTACAATTATTTGAAGAAAAATAACGTGCAATCGTTGTTACACGTTCTCTTGAAGAAATTTACATGCTTCACGTGTGAACAGCAACATAATTCATCGGTGGAGCCGCCGTGTGACAGTCATTCAGTACTTCAATTGCACAGAGAATGACGCTTTTGTGCAACTTTCGTTTAATCGTCGTAGTGATTTCGTCATCGTTTCACGTGCAAGTATTTAACGCGTATGTATAACGCTACACTATATAATATGTAAAAGGTCGTAATGGCTCGACTCCGGGATTCGACGAAATGGACGTGAAAATGGCTGGCTGGGTTAGCCTAAAACGCGAGTTGTCATAAGCGAACGATGGTGAAAGGAAAGGCAGAAGAAAGATAGCGAGCAATCGCATTACGACGAGCCGCAGTTTGCCTCTTTGTAAGATGAAAGCTCTCGCGAAGCCCGTTATATAGAGAACAAACAAAATTTAATCTACCGTGGAGAGAATGATCTCAAGTGACGAAGAACTAATCTAGCTGATAAAAATGATAGTTTGCTTTATAAACGAACGGAATTGAACAGGGCTGATCAAAAATTGACGTTCGAGTGTTCGCGTGACTTCTTCGGAGGGATGTTAATAGGTAGAGAATACAGTATAACTATAAAATTGAATAAAAGTTATATCTTCTTTGTATATTAATTTTCATTGCGCAACCTCCGTTACCTTTAAAATTGAACAGAAATTATTTTAACATAAATCTGGAGAATTATATTTTCCATCTATATTAAAATAATTCTTGTTGAATTTTAAACGGAAGTAATGGAAGTTAATGCATAATGTCCGATAGATATTTAAATATTCACATAGGTATTTTAGATTCTACAGACACTAGGGAGCAATTTTATATTTATAGTCGAAAAATCTAATACGTATGCTTCAAAAATATTAGATGAAACATTCTTATTGATCTTTGAATGTATTTTGCATGAACTGCACAAGTTGATGTAATATTATCGAATTTTTAAAAAAAGTTGAGATACATATTTACAGTACTATGATAAATGATCTTTTGTTGATGAACGAACAAAAAAACGGAATAAACGTCGTAAAGCAATAAAGAGGAAGGTAAATCGAAATTAAACAATGAGAGATTCGCAACAACTCAGAGGATTCAATTGGTATAAAAATTTTTAAACCGTGTTTTTTTTTTTTTCATGTGAAGAGAATTGCCGGGCAACAAGATGATCTTACGTAAACAAGAGTGGCTCAGCATCTCGTTTTAAATCCGTTTCACACTTTTCCGGTGTTTTTTCCTATTAATAAGCCACCCTGTCGCGAAAGAAACGGAACGACAGTGACTTACCTTCCATTCGGGAAACGCGAATGTTTCCTTCATAACGTTGGAAACGCCATCGTACTTCCTTTCAATAAAAACTCTCGGCCCGGGAAAGATTACATTCATTCAGGAAGTTACAATTACCAAGTGCAAATGCAAATGTGAGACGCGTTGTTTGCGGAGGATCCCGCAGAACTGCCGACCGAAAAGAAAAAAATGAAAGGGACACCGTTACGCGAGTTTCATTTCAAATTACAATGCATTCGAGTGGAACTTCGTTCCTTTTGTTTCTCGCTATCAATTAAGTACCCTGATTAGTCCTTCTTTATGCTTCAAGGAAAGTATTGCGAAATCGTTTCAACATCGTGTAACAATTGAGATACAGCGGTGGACGAATTAATGCATCGACACGTGCAACGAATGTATGATATTTGTCATAGAACAGATAACAGCGTTTATAAATATATGTCGCTCATGAAATGTTAATTTTAAATTTCTTCTCGTAATTCTATTAAGAGCTACAAGATCAGTAATTGACATAATTCTTTGCAAAGACATTAGTAAATGTGCAAGTTCTTTAAATACTTTGACGCACAAACAATATTCATTATTTTATTTATAGCAATAAAAGTTAAAGAATGAATGAAAATGAAAATTACAAAGACGTTTAAATATGGAAAGATACATAATGTCTGGACCTAAAAACTGAATCTCACATTAACGTTCATCTTAGTAAAGTGTATTTTTTTTTTTTTTTTTTT